GGGGCTATTATTGATTTCAAAACTCGCCCCCTCTCTCCCTCATCCCCCCATTGTTTAAAACGTTTCTCGTCTATCCTCGCGAAATAGTACTTCTAACCCAGTTTTCCCTGACCTGATTCCCGGTTAATAGGACCGGTGCACGAGTGCGAAATAATTCTCTTCTGAAATGGTGCTCTATTAACAAGCTTCCAATCAGTTTTTCAATTTCTTCGAACCGTTCAGCGTTTCGATTCGAAGGGAGGGGGAGGGAAAAAGGAAACGAGAGATGTATTCCAAATTTTCAAGAATATCGCGAATCTAAATTAATGACTTCGAATATCTAAATATGATAAATTCGAAGCGTAAAGAAAAACGTAAGGTGTCGTCGAATCAATATCTACAATTTTACGTAATAATAATGGGAAAAGAAGAAGAAAAAAATCAATTATCGAAACAACATCCATAATCACGATCGATTCTTTTCAAAAAGAAATTTCTCTTACCCACCTTTCGTTTCCCCCCCCATAATTAAAATGGAAAATTCATCCTCTCCCTCGCTTCATCGTCATTAAACGAAAGCAACGTTGTTTTTCTGAAAACTTTTACGCAACCCTCGACGGGGGTTTTTTTTAAGAAAACCGCGTAACTCGGTTAAAGCTTTCCCACGCGACACGGTCCCTTTCCAACCCTCCGACCCCTTCCTTTGGCCGCGATAATACGGAGAACTCGATTTCCCGATAAATTGTTATCTCCCGTCTAATTTTATTTCCCGGGGCTTAATTAATTTCTCGATGATCGTTTTTCCCTCTTCCCTTTTCTTTTCTTTTTTTTTTTTTCTTCCCCGGCGCATAATCGATAGCTTAATCGGCAGTAATAGTTCTCCCGATATTAACCTGCAGCGGGAGGGGATAGCTACCCCCCGGAGGCGGAATAAAATCGCTCGCCCCGAACGACGGGGCGACGATCGAATCCATTCAGAGGTTGATGCATTTTCATTTCACGATCCTCCATTCAATTTTACTCTGCTCTTTTTTTTTTTTTTTTTTGCTTTTCGAAAGTTGCAATTCCTCTTCACCTGTTGATCTTCGAAAAAACGATTATCCTTTCTTCTTTGATATGTTTCCTTTTTTGATTTGTTCCCTCCCCCTTTTTTTTTTCGTGGAGAGAGTTATTTTTCTTTCGAAGTATATAGAATGATGGAATGAAATGATCGAATACCGTTTACAGATTATTTCGAGGATAAGATATATATCGGGATTTAGAAAAATAAGAGTATGTTTTTATTGGAATTAATCGAAAGGGAAATTTTAATACGAAATTTTGACACTTTTAGCAGGAAAATTGTACACGAATAAATTTGAGAATGTAAGAAGTTAAGGTAAAGTGTGCAATCCGTCCAGATTTGACAAGCAGATTATGATAAAATAAATTTCCTCTGGTAAAATGCTAGCAGAGATTATCCTCTCTCTCTCTCTCTCTCTCTCTGGGAGAGAAGTATTTCAAAGTACGATTCCCGTGATGTGATTCAACATTTCTTTGTTAGAGGAAAAGCGTCTTTCCCGTGTCAGGTCCCGCGGGAAGGGAAGGTGCAAAAATTAGGATCAACAAGGGACCGTGGGACCGGTTTTTATCATTGTCGGAGTTACCGAAGAAGGATAACCTTGCCATCCGAAAAAAGAAAAGACAATCGGGGATAATGAGCCGCGCCACGCGTGATTTTTATTCCAACATCATCCCGTAAGAGGGAAAAATTGTGAAAGGTGGCGCTACATTTTTCAAGGGTGGACATTTTTTTCAGAAGAGAAAATCCAAAGGATTGGATTTCTTTCTCTTTCTCGGAAAATTTTTTGGGAAAAGTGGTTATCGAAGTTGGGGGAATCGCTGAACACGCGCGAGTGGAAAGATTTCAGAGTTCAATAATGAAATTTGAAATTTTGCTTTCTCGGAGGGGGTTTCCGCGGGAATAGAATTTTCCTCCAAGCAATCCGTGTAAGAAGAAATTTGAACGCTCGTACGTTTATCTGTTCCAATATTTTTAAATCTACGAATAACGATTATTAAAATTAATATCCACAGGTTCTTGATCGAATTTCAACCAAAAGAAAAGTATTATATTCAAATCGATATCCAAACATAAATTTCCTCCCCCATCGAAACGTAGTAACCCTTCCTATCCTTCCCTCGTCTCGAAATCGGATATTATAATATTATAATTAATCCAAAATCCAAAAATCAAAAAAACAAAAACACTTTCGCGAAAAATTCACTATCCAAATCAATTTCGAAAATCAGAAAACAGAGGTGCCCTTTCACGCGCCATCCCCAGAAGATGGAACATCCGATTCGAGCCTCTCCCTCGAGGGAGAAAAAAAAATCACCGAGAATTGCGTCATAACGGTGTTAACCCCTCCGTGCCCTCGTCCTATTCCGCCATTTGTATTCCATCCCGTCCAGAGCAAAACTTTCCTTGGCCGTGAGAAGTGGCCAACCTTGCGGCGGTGACGGTGGAAATCGGTGGAAGGCGACTGTCCTCGTGTCGAGATCGAAGAAACGAGGGGGAGAAACGAAGGGAAAGAAAAGAAAAGAAGAGAGAGAGAGAGAGAGAGAGAGAGAGTGGCGCGGTGGCATTTAGGGATGGCGCGAAATTTATTGGAACGCATTAAAGTTTGTTGCTTTTATGGCGAGGTGTGCGGGTACACGTAGACGGGTGCGGGTCAAAGAAGCACGCTGATTTATGCGAGTTGGAAAACTTTATTAACTTTCTGTCAAGAAACGTGTTACCCCGTACAGCCTGGGGGGAGGGGGAGGGGGAGGAGTTGGAACGTTTGCGTTTCAAACGCGTTTGTTGAAGGGGGAAGAATATGGTTTGCAGGATTATTCAAAGCTAATGGGTTCGTAATTATTTATGGAAGGTTTGTTTTAGGTTCTTTCACTTGGGACCGTTTTCGTGGGGATATCGAGGGGAGAAAGTTTGTATATCCACTTTGTGATTGGAATAGGAAAAGATGATTCAATTATTTTATTCTTTTTGTATAGTAATAGTAATAATTTTGACTGTTTGTACAGTTATGAAAATAACGGAGAGAATATTTTTGAGATTAATACGTTGTCTTGTCTTTTGTTGTTTGCAAGAAAGTTAAATGAAATTGATTTGAGTTGATTTTAAGAATCAATTTAGTTTGACAATTTTCTGAGTATGTACATTAATATTCTAGTTTTCCAATAGTAATGGTTTTAGATAAATATTTTTCTTCTCATCGCAATTTTTATATTAAATAAAGCTTCAAGCTTAATCTTCGTTTATAAATATAAAAATCTTGTAACAGATGGCAGCACCGGTCGATTAAATTTTTACTGGTTTATTAATTAGGGGAAACGTTGAATTTCATGTGGAATATGATATTGCCGAAAATCGGTTTTATTACTTTGATAATATTTTAGTTCAATATTTAATTCGATATAATAGAGAGTGAAACGTGTATTAATGTAATAAATAGCGCGCATGGAAACTTCGTTTCCAGTTCACTTATTGAGTTAATGATTTTACGGCCTGGTTTCTCTGAAAATCTGCCATACGTTATCCAAATAGATACGCAGTCAAACGTAATTTAAATTTAAATTCAAATTTAAATTTAAATCCTGTTTTTAATTCAACGTTTAAATTTGAAATTTAAATTTAATTTGAAATTGTTTAGCTTCGACAGTCACGTGTTTTTTCAAAAGTCACGCCGGTTTCTGTTATTGTAAAATCTTTTCTCCGCCCGAAAAAAATCGTCGAATAACAACGATTCTTAATAAAAGGTAGAAACATTATGAAAAATTATACGGTATTTGTCACGATTAATTAACGTAAAAGGAAATTATAATAAGGGAAGGAAATTAAATTACTTAATAACAATTTTAATATACGAATCAACTTTATTCTTCGAAGAAAATTCGTTAAAATTATTCCTCGATTATATACCGACCGAAAATAAAACTGAATTTTTCTCGAATTTTATTAAAAATTTTATTAATCACACTTTCGTTCATTTAAAAATTAATCAGAATAATTCTTTCTCTTTTTCACTCGTATCGTTTCTCCGAATTTCTCATGCTTGCTCTCCTTTTTTATAAATGCAATCGGGAGGACAACTTCTCGAAGATGGAATTCGGCTAAGCCTTCGAGCGATAAGTGATAGAGAAAAATAATAGAGTTTGAGATTTAATCGAGGCTTGAAAGTTTGCACTTATTTGACCAGCCTGTTTTTCACGATGTTCGTACCCGCACGATGGTTGCATTACCGATAATCCTGAAAAGCTGAGGAACTTTTTCACCGGATCTTTCGAAGGAAATCCGACGTGAAAGAGGAAAATGTCCGAGATATACGGGGTTTCGTGACTAAACTTCTCTCCTTCGGATTGTCTGTTCGCAGAATTTTTCTAATATTCCGTGTAATTGTTCGCAAAATTTCTTTCACTCGATTAATTAGGAAATGTCGTCATGATCGAGGAAGAAGTGAATCATGAAAAAAAAAATCGACGAAATATCGAGGCGAATAGAAGAAGAAAACGATGTTAAATATAAAATATCAGTTTTACAATGATTTTTCACAGAAACAGTTGAATAGAGGAAAATGGAAAGAATATAGATAGTACAATTATAATTTATAATATATTTATAATATAAGAATTGAATTTTACATAGGAGAAAAATAAGAATTAAATCGTTTAAATTTTAATTCGCGTTTTTTAAATGAAAGGAATTAAATTGGACAGCGACCGAGTCAAGGCAAAAGAATAATTAACACCTTGTTCGGGATATATTCATTAAAAATTTTTTAACAAGAGACTTTATAAAAGGTCGAAGATAATTAATTTACGTGTGGTTTTCTTTTTTTTTTTTTTTTTTTTTTTTTTACCGACCGTTTATCGTTAATTCAATGTAATTTAACAGTTTCACGATTCTTTTACGTTTGTCTTCTCGCGTAGGGCTGCAAGACTCGTTAATCAAACTAATTGCGTTGCCTTTATCGTTTCAGGTGAGTCTTTGTGAGCGAAGTTCAAAGCTGTTCGTGCGCCACGATTGTCGGATTGTGAAATCGATTAAAAAATTGCGATGGACGATCGTTATAATCGATTGAAGTTAAAAAAAAGAAAAGAAAAAGAAACGAAACACGGGATCTTGTTATATATAATTGCGAGGATGTAAAGGTGAGTTTGTTATTCACAGATTTCATATATTATTTTTACATGTCCTCGAGCTATATACCTTCTTTTGATTACGAGAAATGGAACTTTTTCCTTTTTTATTATTTAAATGTAAAAGCTTGTTAGAAATTAAACGTGCATTCGTGTTTAAAGGACGAATTTTATCCTAATTAATTTCTAAATTAATGAGACAAAAATAGGATGATTTAAATTCAGGCTCATTCTTTGTGAATTCAAATTCATAATAATAGGATGTCGAAGTGAAAAAATCGCGTGCTCTTTCGAATAAATTCAACGTCTCAATAATTCAACGATATATAAAATTCGAGTATTCCTCTCTTTTTTCTTTTTCTTTTCTTCCCATCAATTAAAAATAAATCGACTACCAGAGTCGAGCATGCAAATCGCGATAGAAATTTCTCACGTCTTTCAACTGAAATCTTTCACACCTCGCGATAATTACGCGTTAATCGCTCTAAAAAAAAAAAAGGCCTCAAATTGAACGAAGCATGCGAACAAACACGACTGCTCGTTCGCGCAGCTTCGTTCGCTTCATTTCTGTCTTCCCACGCCTCGAGAAAAAGAATGGCAGATGGATAAGAAACGGCGAGAAGTGGGAAGGAAACTGGTTAGAAAGTTTCGCGAATTCTCGCGACATGGTTGCGAGAAAAGAAAAGAAAAGAAAAAAAGAAGGGAAGAAAGAAAGATCGCTCGTCAGGATGCGTTTGTGCCGGCTTCCTTTCGAGTCTTCCTCGATTCCTTTACGCTCTCTGTACACGCTCGAAGCCTCGAGAGGGCCGAGGATGAGAAAAATCATCCTGCAATGTTCCCTTCCTGATATTTTCCCTTCCTTGCTGTCTCGAGTTATTGCTTCACAATCGGCATGCAGTCCTCTATATGCGCATACAGATTGTGCGTGTGTGTGTGTGTTCAAACACAGTGAATCTTTTAAGAATGTTCTCACTACTCGTTATCTTTCAAAACTTACGATATCTCTTCTAAGCTTGATTATCTCGCGATACGTACCTTTTGCGAAGAAAAGATTTAATAAATTAACGATATTAAATTAACGTATGCTGCTCGCACTAAAGAATTTTATACCTTGTACACCCTTTTGAAGGATACTTCACTGTATTTAGACATCACGTATATGTACGTTCTAAGAAAACGTTTTAGCTCGGCAAAACGTAATATTAACTTAAGAATATTTCTTTCAAACGAAGAGAACCACCTCGATCCGATGGTGGAATAAAGATCAACCGAATAGTGATTCTGGGGAAAAAATTACATCCATTTCGTGGAATTGTGTTTACGTATTGGATATACGAGTATTTTGTTCCAATCGAGAACATCATTGGATGAAGAAGGAAGAGGGAATTTCCAATCCCATTTTTAGATGATTTTGTTTCTCCGATTGCAATATTTTAAACTGAACAATATTTTAAATTATATTGTCGAAGTAGAAACTTTCATCGCGTATAAAAGAATGATATAATCCACTTCTCTCTCTCTCTCTCTCTCTCTCTCTCTGTATATATATATACATATATATATTCTTTAAACTCGACGAGAGAAAAAAATTCGTTTTCATCAGAATTAAAACAATTCTCATCGCTTTTACAACACTCGACAAGAGTCCGCGACAGCGCTCATTCCTTATTCCTCTATTCCCGCACGCGATACGAAAAAGAAAAGCGTGTATCCGCTACGTTCGTGGATTCTACCGCTTCAGAATCCGTGTCAAGAGCCAAGGTACACGTTGTTTCTGGTTGTCAGTCTCTCTTTCTCTCTCTCTCTCTCTCTCCAGAGGAAGGAAAAGAAAAAACCGAAGAGAACGGCGTAAAAAACGGATGGGAGAAAGAAAAGGAGAAGGAAGTGACGAGTAAACGGTGTGCAAAAGTCAGGAAAGGAAAAGGAAAAGAGAGAAAGAATGGGGGGCGAAGAGTCGAGACGCGCTTGTTTCGCGAACGTATTATGCGGTGTTAATGACGATGAGTGAAGCCGTCTTCGAGATCCGCCGTTGTTTGCTCAATCCTCGTACTCGTCGTGCCTCGACTTCCATCCGCTTCTATAAACACCCTCCTCTTCCTTCTTTCGCGCTGCGAACTCCATCGACTACTTCTTCTTCTTCTTCTTCGTCCAGAGAAGAGAAGAATCGTCTTAACATCTTTCTTCACGAGATGTTCGTGGAATCGTTTCGAGGAAGGAACTCGCGGCTATTGTTTCGAGAGTTGGGACAGGCTTGGAATAATAACACGTGCGTGGAGATTTGAAATATTTATTCCAATGAACCTTTTGGATTCGATGATCGATACGAGTGGAAATTGTTATAATTGTTGTTGTGCTTAGACTTTTCGATACGTATCTTCTTTAGATTATCTTTAGATCAGAACATTTGTGTATGGAGGATTCTGGTTAAAAGCAGATAAAAATTCTAGAAGAAAAATTATTAGAGAAGTTAAAATAGCATTTTGAACGATACGATTCTTCGGTAGAAGTTATATAGAATTCGAAGACGCGTTAGAATTCGTAGAATTTCCATTTTTTTCATCCTCAATTTTTGCAATATTCGTGCATCGTTTTAAAGATGAACGATGTTTTGCCACTGTGAAAGTAGCTAGTTTGATGTACTTTCTCAAGATGAAAGAGATCAAATCAAAGCGAGCTGCTTCGAGAGAAATGTTGTATACGTAGTTTATGGGCCAAGTCGCTTCGCGATATACGAAATTGAAGCTTCTTATTCAATGAAATTGTACTATTGTAAAAAAGATGGAACGATTGCACGCCTCGCGTGTTATGAAAAAATTTTATTCCCAATATTCACGATCGAGCGTGATAATTCTATTCATTGATAAAATTGCGTCGAGTAAATTATAATTCATCTGAAATTCAATTTATGATTCTCATAAACCATTCATACAACCGACTTTTTTCCCCCTTTTTTGCGCCATTCAAGATTCAAGGGATGATCCGATAAAAAGCGAATGAAACTTTTCTCGCGCGATATTTCGGATATATAAATAATCCCGAGTACGTGGAAAAAAGCCGCGGTCGCACCGCAGCCGAGTGATCTGACGGCTCGATATCTGCAAAAAAATTCCAATCTCCCGCTTATCGATAAATGAACAAACCGCAACCGAGTCTGAAACCAAACTTTGGTTGGCGCGTGAAATGTAGATTTCATACAAGGCATCGAGATCCAATGATAAATATCCAATGGAAATGAAACTTTCCTTGCTATTTAAATTATTCATAGAGTGTGTAAAGTACGCAGTATTACAACATGTCTTTTATCTTTTATTTTCTTCGAAAAAAAAAAATAATAATAATAATAACGCGATATTTATCTTCAGCTGTGAAAGTGAATCGATAACTTTTAACGATCGAAGGCGAATCGTTGACGACACGGAAGAATAGGCTTCATGCCGTCAAACTTGCATCAACCTGCCATCGTGCAGCAACAATCGCCAACAGGGAAAACAGGGTGAAAAAAGGTGGCTGGCAAAACCAACACGCCCCCTAAGTCCTTGCACCGTCTCGAACATTGGTTGAAAAAACGCGGCAAAAGAAAACAGTCGCCACCTAAACGGAATCGATCCATCTTCGTGGATCGAGCGATAAGCAAACGAAGAAGAAACACAGTTTCAGAGGCGATTCTCTCGAGCAAAGCTTAGGCTCGGTTTCGCGTGATGGATAAACACGATGGATCCGCGTATCGTGAACGGGTGAGTCGGCAGGTTCGTCGAGGGCCTGGCGCGTGTTTGTCTTGCCCCGAGGTCCTGACAGAGTCGTTTCCCCGAGAGATCTGTTTGCATTGGCTCGCCACTTTCTTCTTCTTCTTCTTCTTCTTCCTTCCACGAGTGAAATGATTTCGTCGAAGCGGGTGTGACGAGTGTTGCCCCTCGACGGATGACTTTCGATTTCGTGGATCGTGCAGCTTTCTTATAAGTGTCGAACGAGAAATGTGTGCGATGGAGAATTAGAGAGATCGGGTAGATTATATATTCGTGGAGCAGGTGTAAGTGTATAGGCATGGTATAGGTCTCTTATTCGATGGCGATCGTGGTGGAAATAGAAAAGAAAAAAAAGAGAGATCAGAGTTTGTAATGTAAATTTTTTGTTGTCCCGGGAATTTCTATTTCTATAAATTTAGGTAATTTTTGGATATTTTAACAATATTTTACGTTCTGAGAGTGATGTGCTCTGGCAACGTGTTATTTAACGAAACGTGGAGAGGGTCGGTGGGCGTGAAATGTTCCATACCTCGGAAGAAAAATGTGAAGGTTTGAAATAACACCAGAAACTCGGGCGTGAAAGGTGAAAATTAATAGTTTTCTCAGCGTTGTCAGAATCTGAGACGTAGGTGTAATAACGTTCAACAAATATGTATTTAAAGGAATCGTCGTATCATTTCCAGACAAATGAACGTGCTGAAATTAATGTTACAACAGAATTCTCAACAGAAATTATGACAACAGTTGTATTAAAAAATATTTCATAATCGAATGATTTCCAGACCATTGTTTTCCCATTCGCCTTGAAACTCGATTAAAAACCTATTAAAATTAGAGAAACTTTGAACCGTTATAACTCTGAAGATAGTGACTTCTTATCAACGAATGAACGATCGTCGTAAGCGCAAGGTCTTCCCCTTTAAAACGCTTTTCCATTTACCTCGATACGACTTCCGGTTCTCGAGATATCGTCGTGCAAAGAAAAAGGTAGTTTTCGATCGTTTACCTTTAAACGCTATTAAAATTAGAAAAACTTTGAACCGCTATAACTCCGAAGATAGTGATCTCTTATCAACGAATGAACGATCGTCAGAAGCGCTGAAACGTCCCCTTTAAAACGCTTTTTCATTTATCTCGATACGACTTCCGGTTGCCGAGATATCGTCGTGCGAAGACAAAACTAATTTTTAATCGTTCATTGCCTCCATCCTTGTTGTTTACTCGCTCGCCT